ACCATTTCTTGATGTTATAGAAAGGTCACAAATTCTGCTAAATTATTTTAAGACCTCGAGTGTTGGTTCGGCCGGGGCTCGAACCCTCGACCTCCCGCACAACAGTTCAGCGCACCATCCATTGGGCTAACTGGGCGGCGGTACTGTCCTGATGTGAGAGGCCATTCGGGGGAAGCGCTCACTGGCACCAGCAGAAACAAAGGGAACACCATACTACATTTTAGTCGAAAAAACTGTCACTTCTCATCTTCAAAGAATCTTTTATTGTTGGTCTCTGGTGCAGTGCAAAGTACACTTCAGTAACACATGACAAGACTTAAGGGTACGTCATCTTCTGAGAGACTCTGGTTCGCTCTTCCCTGACACTCTCTAACAAGAATACGTATTTTTCCATTTACATTTAGCTAGGTGCTATATGATTTTTTTAATTGAACCAACCAGCAAAATCATATTGTGACCTCTGTGTGATCTGCCCAGGTAAAACGCGGGCAGACATGGCATTAAAATTGGAGTACACACTCCAGTCATACCTGTCTTAAGCGGTCGGTTGTCAAAGTCCTGATTTTTTCCTTTATTTATTTCTCTTAAACGATCACCTCTATTAAGCGGTCGTGATCACCCTACTGACTAAGTCCCAACGGCCTGTTTGTATTGTTTTACTGGCTTGTATTGAATAGTCACTTAAAGTGGAGGCACTCAAACAAAACTAAGAATAATCTTTCAAGTAAAATTTAATCCATGTTTACCTCCCGAAATCACGGTTAGAAGTATTTTTGAGTGAGGTTTTGTACATTAAGTGGTCAATTATAGGATAAAATGGCGTTTTTCAGTATAGCACACCTATCCTGTGGAACCTTTACTGAGCGATCAACCCGTGTTTAGCCATCATTCCCCCCATTCCCCGTGGGTGACCGCTTAATAAAACGCTCTTCTGTAAATATCGGCCATATATGGTCATTGGGGTGGGGTGGGGAGGACATCAGGATGCCAAAATCACTGCAACACGGTATTAAATATCTCAAAACATATACATAGCATTTATACAGAGATTAGATTAGTTGTACAGAGATTAGATTAGTTTTTAATTTCTATGTAAATACGTTCCACCTGAAGAAGCCCGAAGGCCGAAACGTCGCCACATTAAAGCTGGAACAGTTAGAGGTTTGCTTCATGTTTCATCGTTTTACACTTACTTAACATTTTCATTGAAGCACTGTATCCTTCGCGGATCCTTCTACTGAGAGCTCATCATTTGGTTTACCTTTTTATTCTATTTATATATAGATATATATATATATATTGTGGGAGGAAAAAGACAAGTAAACTACAAGTTCATCCCTACAAGCCTGTTTCGTGGTCGCCCACTCATCAGGGGATTTAATGAGAATAAACTTTACCATTGCTTATATACAATATAATTTGCATGATCTAACTAGTCTAATTTATGCAGCGCGAAATTGACAGTTTAGTTGTTGCGTAGGAGGGCTTTGCTTCTGTGGCGGCATGAAGANGTCATAGTTAGTAGAGGGGACAGGTTAGGAAACCCGGAAAACTTCAAAGGGGTAACTTATTGTTATGGTTTTAGTGTGATCACGTGGTTATGACCGTGCACACGCTTTCAAGATGGCGGCTGTCTTTCGAGAAGCGTGACTTTATCAAGGACAAATTTTAAAGTATTTTATGCTTCAAACGTAGTTTAATCAAGAATTTCTAAGAGATATGTAGTTTGACTATTTATAAATCATCATGCCGGGAGATAACTGTTCGGTTTTTGGTTGTGGAACCTCAAGAAGGACGAAAGGTGTTGGTATCTGGAAACTGCCTGCACCGAAAGACGAGGGCCATCGTAAATGGAGAGATGCTTGGCTCAGCGAGATTACCAAGACAAGAATAGTTGATGCAGTATTCCGAAAAAAAGATCCAAAACGATACTATATACACCTGCGAAAAGCCTCTACTATGACTTTGGTGAATAGTTGTTAAATATACCGCGGCACGAAAAGTTGACGTATCACCTACACCGCAAAAATTGGCGTAACGCCGAGGCATTAATTACAAACAATTTTCGCTGATTCTTGGACCCTATTAGTGGGTTTGTAAGTGAGCCTACTGAACGGAAAGCAAAGGGGCACATTATTAAGTTACCAAACTCAGCCCCAAAAGGATTTATCTGATAAACCGCCGAAGCCGAAAATGACATAAGGTGAAAGCAATCTATAACACGTACGAGTTCGACAGCTGAAATCTTAAAAAAACTCCTTCCCGTAAAAATGGTTTTAAAATGTCTTTACAAATATTTATACAGCTCGTAGAAGTCATGCATGTTCGCCCTATCCAGGGCCATAGGAGAGAAGAGTGTTTTGCATTTGTTACTGAAGACAAACTTGTTTGCTCCTTAATTCGAGTCAGTGAACAATGAAGACATCATTCTTAGCAATAAATGTCTCTTGGGGCAATCTAAACGGACGTTTCTCGGAGATAACGGTGACTAAAACAAATGAATTAAAGAAGGGCTGGACAATTTCCACACTCAATCAAAATTAAGTTTATATTTATCAGAAGATGAAGGAGACTTCAGAAATATCGAGGGTAAAGAAATAAAATAAATAATGGGATTTAGCAGTGGACATTCCACGGGGTTGCTCTTCGTGGCTACTGTTTCCAGGTAAAATTGGAGTTTAGAATATTGGTTTTTGTGGAGGGAGGAAAACCGGAGCCGGAGAAAACCTGAAGCAAATAACAAACACGTACTATTGAAAATAATAATTTATTCTTACTCCCAGAATCCAACCTTGTTTTTTACTTGAACTAACAAGTACCACACGGACAGGATCTTTCATTGCAAAAGATAGCACCACAGGCCACAAAAGCCTGAAGTAACTGTTGCTGACGATGCAAAATCTAAAAAATTTTTAAAGCTGATGAAGTTGATGAAAATTAACACTACATCTCGCTCCCAGAAACATTGACATCTTCCTAGCTAATACAAGAAATATCTATGCCAATGCAGACTACAATTTGGATGGATTTTACTTCCCCACACCGGCATAAAAGAAAAATAGAGGGATGAAAAGAAGAAAAAGGAACAGAAAGAAAAGCAAACAGCACAATTAAGATCCCTTCGTTAATATCTATAAACTTCAGGCTAAATGCAATTCTTGACAACAAAATACCTATAAAAAAACAAATTTCTTTCTGAAATAATTGTAAATGTCTTGTATTATTGCAAAAGCTTGACGATCAATAATTTAATACACACTGCTATTTACTACCTGAAAGAAAAGTAATTTTACGTAGTACCTTTCGGAACTAAATTATGAAGGATTGCATAAGACAATCTTTAAAATTCGAAAAGCGTCTTTTGAACCTAAGCTATTGATTCCTCGTCACTGTTTATCCCTAACAACCAAAACAGAGGACGATACATTTTCCAAGAGTAAAAACTGTTGTCGGCTATACAAAAATTGAAGTAAAAATTGACACTAACAGGTGAACTAATACTATTTCTTGTACAAATAATTTTAGTAAAAAATTTATAGTTGCAATCCACGGGGTTGAGGTAAATAGAGAAACATTGAAGTTTATGAGCAAGAAAAAGGACATACCCTTTATGGAACAATAATCACGATATCCCCTTGGAAACGAAATGGTCTCCGCACCAATCCCCTTCCCCAATAGAGTTTGCCTTCATCAAATCTTTAGCAAAATTTTTTTTTGAAAGCTCTAAGAGTTATTTAGCGGCGCGCTCTTGAGGGGAAATTTAAGAGTTGTATCTAATCCAGGGTTATGAATCTGAAGAGTGTTCACGTGGTAATATTTCACCAAGTCCTTTAGAGTTGGGTAATTGGTGAAATTTGCAAAACCATAACCCCCTGGTCCTTTGTTAACTGCAATGTGTTTAACATCTCCTCCGTGCCTGAAAGAAAAAAAATTGTTCAACGTTGGTTAATATGATTATTTCAAGAATCATAAGAAAGCCGCTTGGAGAGTGGAAGGTTTTTAAAATGCTTCTTCAGAACGAGGAGCAAACCACCAAAGCAGAACCGAATCATGTTTATGACTACAAAACACGCCACAAGCAAAACTTGTGTAACTTCAAGGCATTTTAACAATAACATAACACAAAAATTGCAAGTCTTTCGTTGCTTTTCAGGTATTTGTATTATGTTGACTTACTTAAGACCCACAGCATACTCCCCTCGCCTTCGGGCACTTTCCCTTACGAGGAAAGTACCTTCTTCTTTGTCCATTAAGAGTGATTCTGCTTCTTCCCTGAAGAGGAAAACAAAAATCAAATATATTCGTAAACAAAGTAGTGGTATTATAAACGATTGGAAGCTCTCGTAAAATACTAAAACTTTTTAAACATATTTCATATCCATCCAGGTACAAATAACCAGTCAATGCACAATAAAATATTTCTTTCAGACTCTCTGAGGTTAAGATGCGATCATATTCTACAACTAAAATTAATTCCGTATGATGCACGATCCTCGCAGCAGAGAGCGCTATTTATGCAATAGCGAAAATCAGACCTGAAAAAAAATCAGGCCTGTACGGGATTCGAACCACTGACCTCTGCGATACTAGTGCAGCGCTCTACCAATTGAGCTAACAAGCCAACTGGGAGCAGGCCGTTAAGTTGATTCGTAATAAACCCGTGATGATAAATCAGATACAATGAATATATGAAGTTCATATATTTTGAACTGCGGTATTAAATACGTATGATGCACGATCCTTCGCAGTAGATAGCGCTATTTATGCAATAGCGAAAATCAGACCTGAAAAAAATCAGGCCTGTACGGGATTCGAACCACTGACCTCTGCGATACTAGTGCAGCGCTCTACCAATTGAGCTAACAAGCCAACTGGGAGCAGGCCGTTAAGTTGATTCGTAATAAACCCGTGATGATAAATCAGATACAATGAATATATGAAGTTCATATATTTTGAACTGCGGTATTAAATACGTATGATGCACGATCCTTCGCAGTAGATAGCGCTATTTATGCAATAGCGAAAATCAGACCTGAAAAAAATCAGGCCTGTACGTGCATCATATGTATCTAATATCGCAGTACAAAATATATGAACTTCATATATTTCATTGTATCTCATTTATCACTTTCACGGGTTTATTACGAATCAACTTAACGGCCTGCTCCCAGTTGGCTTGTTAGCTCAATTGGTAGAGCGCTGCACTAGTATCGCAGAGGTCAGTGGTTCGAATCCCGTACAGGCCTGATTTTTTTCAGGTCTGATTTTCGCTATTGCTTAAATAGCGCTATCTACTGCGAGGATCGTGCATCATATGTATCTAATACCGCAGTACAAAATATATGAACTTCATATATTTCATTGTATCTCATTTATCACTTTCACGGGTTTATTACGAATCAACTTAACGGCCTGCTCCCAGTTGGCTTGTTAGCTCAATTGGTAGAGCGCTGCACTAGTATCGCAGAGGTCAGTGGTTCGAATCCCGTACAGGCCTGATTTTTTTCAGGTCTGATTTTCGCTATTGCTTAAATAGCGCTATCTACTGCGAGGATCGTGCATCATATGTATCTAATACCGCAGTACAAAATATATGAACTTCATATATTTCATTGTATCTCATTTATCACTTTCACGGGTTTATTACGAATCAACTTAACGGCCTGCTCCCAGTTGGCTTGTTAGCTCAATTGGTAGAGCGCTGCACTAGTATCGCAGAGGTCAGTGGTTCGAATCCCGTACAGGCCTGATTTTTTTCAGGTCTGATTTTCGCTATTGCATAAATAGCGCTATCTACTGCGAGGATCGTGCATCATACGTAA